ATGGCACTTCAAGCAAGCTGTAATGAAGGAGCCATCCGAAACCAACAAAAAAAACGCTTGATGCCCCAGAGCCCTCAGGGACGGCCCATCATGGAGACATTGGGGCATACCCCTCGAGGCGGATACGTGGGACCTCTCTGCCACATCAAGCATTGTTGGCATCTCCAGAACCCAGGACGATCCCCGATGAGCTCCCAAGCCCTTTGGGGCCGGCACTTTGGGGGAAGGGGCCCATGGGCAAACAGACAAATACATTCTCGGCCACAAAGGCAAAATCTTGGCAGCAAGCGCGCAGACCGCCTGCGAGACACGGACCTGGAAATCCAACTGCTGAGCTTCCGCCTCCGACGGCCGCGGATGCAAAGATGCATCGGATTTCGCAGCCTTGTCGGCCTCGTCACTGCCCGTTCTCAGCCAGTGTTCTCGCTCTGAGATGCCCGCCTCCAGCGGGTCTTCATGGGCCTGAATCTTCGAAGCTCCAACCACCCACCACCCGCCCAGCCGATACAACATCATAAGACCAGCGAAAGGCTTCTTATAGCTGAGCTGCACTTCGCTAGCCTTGCTGCAGAGAGAGAGAGAGAGAAAGAGAGAGAGAGAGAGAGAGAGACGACATGCTCACAATCCGAGTAGATGGTGGAGGGGGCTTCGACCTCGAGCCCCGCGCGTGCAATGCCAGCGAACTCTGCGCACTGCGACGTCTGGATAAAAGGGGCATGAACGGGCCCTGACAGCGCGCCGAACCTACGCCCCTCGCCAGAGATCAAAGCCAACCCGTAACCCGCTCTGGAGAGCTCGCTGATCACATGCCTGTGGCAACTTCCGTCGACGAAAATGTTGTCCGAAAAAAACCGCCACCTTCAGGGGGGGGGGCTCGTCCCAAACTATCCTGGCCTGGAATTCACTGTCCTCAGGGGGGGGCCGAGGGAAAGAACCCCCAGGAGAAGGAAAAACACCTCGAAGAAACAGCACCTCCTGGACAGGGTCGGACAGATCCGCGCCAGCGGCGGCATTTAACATGTCAGACTTCACCAACTCTTCACGGAAGGAGGCGACGCTCGGACAGGCCCACAGACGGTGCTGGACAGTGTCCCCAGGCTGCCCACAGAGCGCGCAAAAATTGGAGACCTCGTAGACCGCCTTCTCGGCTCTGCCGTACGTCCAGAGAGCCTCGCAAACCAAACTGCGGATGGACCCTTTTTCTTTGTCGGTGTACTTCGATGACCTCAAGCGGTTACGAACCACGTCGAAGCACAGCCTCGGCTCGGGAATGCCAGCTTTGCGGGCAGCTTCGCGCTCAAGGCTCCTAGGCGAGGCGGCGTGCAACATCTTTTTGAGCATCGCAGGCGATGCAACCGCGAGCTGCAGCGATTCCCCGAAGTCGTTGACGCAAGTGAAGGGGCTGCTCATGCTCCAGTTGGTCCTCCTCAGGGAAAGCCGCAGCGCGGATATCGCACCTGAGACCTCGCGCCAAGACGGCTCTGAACGACCAAACACCACCTCCCAGCCCTCGCGCAACTGGGCCCGGCTTAGCGCATATAGGTAAGGGCGAGTCTGCGCTGCCCAAACCTCCTTGGCGCAACGCAGGATGGGAGCCGTGGCGCCGAGCCGTGCAGGATCATCATGCACAATCATCGTCGCCGTTAAAGAACGCCCCCCAGCCCCAGGGCGCAACGCCTTACCGGCTTCACGTCTGACCGTCAGAAGTTCGAAATCGGACAGCCCGTTAATGTCCGAACCATACAAGATTCCAGGGAGGGCCCCAGGGATCCAGATGCGCTGAGTCAAATTCCCAAGACTCCACCACATACGCGTGAGCTTCTGGGTGCAGTTCTTCAGGTAGTCGATCTTAACCCTGAACTGGGCCCCGCGCCCAGCAGCACGCCGAGGTCTACCTCTAGCGCCGGCAACCCCCAGAGTAACAGCGCTGTCGGTAATGGGGCCAGCCAGGGGGCCTAGGCACTTACGCATGGCCAAGACAACCTCCTTGCTGGAGCTCACAAGAGCCGCCTTTTTCACGGGAAATCTTGCAACCGCAGTCGTTCTCGATAACAGAAAAAAGCTGGGAACTGGCATCCTTTAGGCCATCGATAACCTGAGATACAGTACCCACTGCAGAAACTCCGCTGTCATCGATATACCGATCGAGGTGAACGCCTTCGGGGAACCGCAGGTTAGTGAAAGCCTCCAGGGCGTATACCTTCACGAAAGATGTGGCAAAGCTGCACCCTGCGATCACCCCGTTCAGGGCGTATAATGGCCCTGTGATGGAGCCCGCTAAGCACACAACACGAGCCGAACGATACGCAGATAAGGCCAGTCTGAAAATGGGGGCGGGAAAACCAAACATCTCGCAGTGCTGCTCTAGGCGGACCAGGCAAATTGCTTCGTAGAACTTCGAGATCTCCCACGGCAGAGTAGCCGAGACCTGACCTTGAGCTATACCAGCCTCCCCCCTGGAACTCCGTCTCCAAACCACATCGCTTGCTGAAGCAAAAGCCTGGCCAGCATAGAAAACCCGCCGGTGGTTGAGCTCCCACTCCAACGCGACACATCGGCGGCACCTCCCCAACAAGCGGTAGAGCGAACAGGATAGGCCGATCGGCCTCCAGCCTCCCGAAGCCTTCAACAGCAGCGCGAGCTGCACCACTTGTAGTTGGGCTGGAAGGTTTAATATCATTTCCATGGCACAGACGACGAGACAGACAGCCTGCAAGCAGTCGTCGCTCATCCAGCTGCGGTGCTTCACATGGAAACCACCCAGCCCACCAGCGATCCTGAGGGAATACTTCCTGGAGACACCTCGAACAAAATTAACAGACATGAGGGGCAGGGGCTCCAGGAGTTTGGCGCGGCACTGAGGCTGAGGCTGGCTAGACGCCTGCCACAGACCGGAAAATATTTCAGCCTGACCACGGATCAAGGACAAGGGATCCGAAACCACAGCGCCCGAAGAACTCAACGTAGCGGAGGGTTCCCAGCCTGCCGCAGGCCGACGAGCCAGGTGAGCGTTACTCCCCCATGTTCAATATTGTGTCAACCAGCGTTCCCAACCCTTGGATCCTTCGGCCCTGGCGCGCTGCTGAGCTGCTACCACCGCGGCGCCCAGCCACGCAAAAAGACCAGCAAGATGAACAGGCTGGCCCTGCATGGGGCGACCTGCAACGTCTGGGGCAACAGACTGTTCTGACACTAAACTTCGAGACTGCATCGGACAATCGAGGGAACGAAGAAACCCTTGATCGTCGAAACCTTCACCTAAAACCTACAGACTCGGCCCCTTCCAGGTCGGCAAAGGGGCCCGCAAACTCAGCATCGAGCGACACAAGCGCCGGCGCCCGATGCCCCTGCTGCGGCTGCGGGCCAGGGGCGTCGCGAGCCCCTGACCCAAAGCAGCCGTCGTCAATAACCCTAAAAGACTCACGCTCAAAAAACTGCTTGGACCCCTCCACGCGGGCCTGCCGAACAAACTCTTGGCAACGGCTCACCAGCTCTCGGCAGTGCGCGAGCCCGAGTCCGACTTCGCCGGGGGGCTCCAGCAAAGGGGAGGATTTGATCCTGAGCTCCTTCGAAGCAGGAGGAGCCGTTGCCCACTTCCTGGCAGTGATGTAGAACCACTTGATGGCGATCAACTCAGGGTGGCGGCCTTTGCAGGCGTCAGCCTTGAAAACGGGAACCCGCTGCAGTCTAGGCACGTCCCCCCTCGCCCCGAAGTGCGGGGGGGTGGCGTGCGCAGCGCCAGCAGCCTCGACCTCAGCCAGACGAGCCCATCGCCCATGCAGGCGGGTGGGCCTCGCACGGGCATCACCGACATCTTCCCCAGGCGCCAGAGAGCCAACCAAACCCCTGGCCACGTTGAGGGCCCTAGCCCAACAAGGGGGGCGGCGGCTCGGGCCGACAGGCCTCGCGGGCGAGATCGGCGGGGGCTTAGCGAAGGCCAGGGCATGCAGGGGGCAAGCTTTGGTGTAAAGGGTAAGGCGCACAGGCGAGTGGGGGGTGATGTGGGGGGTTTGAATCTCATGCCAAACGCAACCACGAACAAGTCCAGGAATTTGGGGCCCCAGTCGCCATGCAAGTCCCCGCGCACTCGGGGTAAACCACGTCCCCCAAAAGCTTCTCTGGAAACCCGCTTCCTATGATATCATCTGGCGCAATATTGAAATCGCCCGCGACCACTGCCTCGTTAGGAATACAGCGTGGCCGCCGAACCTACAGCGCTGAGAATGTTGACGCCCCGATCCGCCAGGCCTTCAGAATGGCGGAGGTAGACCGAGCCGAAGAAGAAAGGGTGAGCCGCGCACCCAAGCAAGTGCACCAACCCACCGATAGCCCTACGCGGGCGCAGGATGGAGCCCTGCGGAAGGTCATGACATCCGAAGGAAGATCTGGCCAGAAGAGCAACGCCGCCAGAACTACCTGCACCTTTCCCAGGACAAGCTGGCGCGAACAAGTCTTCCCATCCCTGTCTCAAGCACCAATCTGCGGCCTCCTTGCATCCCTCCTCCGCGGCTAAGTGGCGCCCCTGCACGGCAATCGCATGTGCCTTGGTATGGGCGAGCCATTCATTACAGGGTCCCAATGAGGTGGCGTTGCAGGATTCAATACTCAGCGATATATCTCCTGGCTCGGGCTCGGGGGGCGACCTGAGGGAAACAAAGCCAGGGGCGACCGGGCAAGGACCAGGGCCAGAACAAGGCCCCGCATAAATACCTTGGGACCAGGAAGAACCACAATTCGTGGGGGGATCTGCGGAACCTCCCGAGAGGCAAGCGTCAGCATTAATTACAAATGCTGGATGTTCCCCCCCTTCAGGCGGCCCCTGCTGGCTCGCCTGCGGGGGGGGGGGGGGGTAGATTGCGGAATCCTGTCGCAGCGGAGCTGGCAATGGCGGCGGACCCAGATGAATCAGCAGAGGAGCTCGAAGCATCTGGCGCCGATGAAGCCTCCGACGCGGCTGCCCCGCCGCCTTCATTGGGCGTCGCCCCAGCGGCTCCTGCGTCCTCAGCTCCAGCGCCACCCCCACCTGCGAAGGCCCCCTCGACCCTGGCGCGCTTGGGGCGCAGGCGCTTGAGCTGCTCCTGGTGCTCGAGCTTGAAAGCGTCTGCTTTCTCCTGCACTTCGCCGAAGGATGCGACGAGGGCCTCCTTGAGCGCGGCCTGTAGATGCTGGACGCGACGATCTGCTTCAGCGCGCTCCTCATGTGACCATTCGCGCTCGCCGTCCTCCCCCAGCAGGCTGGCGATGCTGATCGGGATCTCCGAAACCGTTCCAGTGAGGATGTCGGACACGTCCAGAATAGCCACATAATACTTAGCGTCGTCAGTGGGGCCGTCCACGGAGGCGTGAAGCTGGCGCACGAGGTCCGCATGCGCCGACTCCTCCTTGGCCAGCTCGTCGTTCGCCTCCTGGACCTTCTGCCGCTGCTGCCCGAGCTCCCTCTACAGGTTCTCGCGCGCCGCGCAGGCCTTGTTCGCCTTGGGCTGCCAGCCCCGCAGCTCGCGGTAGGCCTTGTTGACGCGTTGCTGCAGAGGGGCCTCAGCTGGTGCGAGCTCCTTCTTCTTTGCCTCGAGACGCCGCTGGTACCGCTGAGCACCCTCCGCGTCGCCGAACTTCGCGAGAGTCTCGACCAGGCTGGCGAGCTGGCGCACCTCCGATGCTCCGCCTTCGGCCACGCCGCCACTGCTGGGCGGCTGCTCGAACTGCGGACCGCTGCGGAGGGGCAAGGAGCTGCCAGGCCTGGGCCACTGAACGGCTGCGGACTTGTCGTGGGGCGTGGGGTCCTGCCGAACCGACCTGCAGTGCTTGCAGCGCCACCACCCAGCTTTATTCTTGCGGCATCCGCACTGGCCACAAGTCCACCTCCCTTGTGACGGGTTGGAAATGCTGCGCGAAGTTCCTGACCACTTGGACCAAGGAGCACCGTCGCGCCAGCCACCATCGCGGCGACTCTGCGGAGCCATCGTGGGAGAATGATTCCCTCGAAACCGAGGCGCTCAAACCTGCATACTGATGGTAACAGCACAAGGAAAGACTGGCCCGACGGGCACAACACCCGATCTGAGCCAGAACGGGCTTGAGAGGGGGAGGAGAAGGAGGAGGAGGAGGAGGAGCACTGACCAATCCAGGACAGCGAGCGGGCCGCCTTTGGACAGTCCCTGAGCCAACTCAGGATTGTCAAGGGGGTGCACCCCTTACTTGGGGAACCCCCAGCCCGCCGCCTGTTGTTGTCGGTTGTTAACGAGGGCGAAACCTGGCCAGCAACCCACGATGCAACGCACTGGATGGAACAACATAAGATTGGCATTGCCGGGGCCTCACGAAGGCAGTGGAACGGCCACCTGGGTTTTTGGCGGGCAGCGGCCAAGCAAGGATGGGGGGAGGAGGAGGAGGAGGAGGAAGGACGAGGATCGACTGAGGACGAGCCAGGCGAGGTCCCCACGTGGAAACGAACAGGAAAAATGGAGTGAAGGTGCGCGCAGCGACCTAGCCCAAACAAGCGCGGCGCTGCGGATGCCAAGAATCCTGCCGTGATGATAAATCGGGCTGGCCGAAACAACGGACCGCAGCCTAATTGGGCATGCCATGCAAAGCCTCAGCCCACATTCCTAGGAGAATTCCCGGGACATCGCGTAACACCGCGCGGCCTGTAATCCTGGAGTTCCAGCCCTGTTTGTTGAATCGGCCTGGCCGAATCAACGGGCCGCAGGCTATGTGGGTATGCGGCGCATAGCCTTATTAGCCCACAGCCCTGGCAGAGTTCCGGTGATGCTGGCCCTAGCCTAAACACGCGGGACTCTGCGGTTACCAAGAACCCTGCCGTGAATGTTGAGCCGGGCTGGCCGAAACAACGGGTCGCGAGCTAGTTGGGCATGCTGTGCATTGCCTTAAGTCGGGAGGAGAAAGGGCGCGGGGAAGGGACCAGGGGGACGAGGAAGGGGAGGAGGGGTGTGCGCGGAGGGAGAGGAGAGAGGTGGGGGAGCGGAAAACGGCGGGGGGGGGAGGCAAATGGCGGGAAGGGTAGGAGAAGCAGAAGGGATGGGGGGGCGAAGAGAGGGGGGAGGAGGAGAGGAGGCGGGGGGTGGGCCAAAGGGTGTGATCCCGTCTCCTCCTTCTCCTCCATTTCCTCCTCCGTCCTCCTCCTACTCTTCGTCCTCCTCCCTCCTCCTCTTCCTCCTCCTCCCCTCCTCCTCCTCCTCCTCCTCCCCTCTCCTCCTCTCCTCCTCCTCCCTCCTCCTCCTCCTCCCTCCTCCACTCCTCCTCCTCCTTCCTCTCTCCTCCTCCTCCTGCTCCTCTTGCTCCTCCTCTTGCTCCTCCTGCCCTCCTCCTCCTCCTCCTCCTCTCCTCCTCCCTCCTCCTCCTCCTCCCTCCCTTCCCTCCTCCTCCTCCTCCTCCTCCTGCTCCTCTGCTGCTGCTCTGCTGCTGCTGCTGCCTCCTCCTCCTCCCTCCTCCTCCTCCTCCTCCTCCGCCTCCTCATTGTTCTCCTCCGCCTCCTCCTCCTCCTCGCCTTGCTCCTGCTCCTGCTCCTGCTCGTGCTCCTGCTCCTCCTCCTCCTCCTCCTCCTCCACCTCCGCCTCCTCTTCCTCCTCCTCGCCCTCCTCCTCCCAGGGTGTGGTGCCGGGGAGGGAGGGAGGCGACCGGTTGTTACTGTGGCCCGTTGGGTGTCAGTGTGGCCCGTTGGGTGTTAGTGTGGCCCGTCGCGCCGCCGGATGGGAGTTACTGTGGCCCGCGCAGGCCGCTCAATGAACAGTAACATGTAAAGGTATCTCATGTTAGATCTGGAGAGATTCGCAACCCTTAAGGGAATGCACTCCTGCGCAGGCAAAAGTGGCCACAGTAACTCCCACCTGGATCCAACGTGGTAGTAGTGCTGTGTTAGTGGTGTGGTGGTCGCTGTGCTGTGTTAGTGGTGTGGTGTTGGTAATGTTGTGTTAGTGGTGGTGTGGTATTGGTAGTGGCTGGTTGTGCTGTATGCTGTGTTAGTGGTGTGGTGTTGGTCGTGGTGTGCTGCGTTAGCGGTGTGGTGTTGGTAGTGCTGTGTTAGTGGTGTGGTGTTGGTAATGTGGTTGAGTTGTTAGTAGGTGCTAGTATTGTGGTAGTGGCAGTGGTGCTGTGGTAGTGGTGTTGTGGTAGCGGTGTTGTGGTGTTGTGGTTGTGGTATTGTGGTAGCGGTGTTGTGGTGTTGTGGTAGCGGTGTTGTGGTGTTGTGGTACTGGTATTGTGGTAGTGGTGCTGTAGTGTGGCACTACTATGGTGCTGTAGTGTTGGTGTTCGGGAGTACCATTCATAGGGCGTGCTGGTCCTACGGGGTACTAGCCGTAGGGAGTGCTAGCCCCAGGGAACACTAGTTCTAGGAATTACTACCCCTAGGGCGTACTCGTCCACGGGAGTACTCGTCCTAGGGAGTACTCGCGCTACGGAGTACCAGCCCTAGGGAATACTGGTCCTAGGGAGTGCTAGTCCGAGAGAGTGCTAGGGAGTATTGGCGCTAGGGAATGCTAGCCCTAGGAAGCACTGGCGCTAGGGGGTGCTAGTCCTAAGGCGCTAGGGACGAGTAGTAGTAGTAGTAGTAGTAGTAGTAGTAGTAGTAGTAGTAGTAGTAGTAGTAGTAGTAGTAGTAGTAGTAGTAGTACAAGTAGTAGTAGTTGTAGTTGTAGTTGTAGTTGTAGTTGTAGTTGTAGTTCTAATAATAGTAGTAGTGGTAGTAGTAGTAGTAGTAGTAGTAGTAGTAGTAGTAGTACTAGCAGTAGTAGTATAGTAGTACTAGTAGTAGTAGTAGTAGTAGTAGTAGTAGTAGTAGTAGTAGTAGTAGTAGTAGTAGTAGTAGTAGTAGTAGTAGTAGTAGTAGGAGTAGTAGTTGGAGTAGTAGTAGTAGTAGTAGTAGTAGTAGTAGTAGTAGTAGTAGTAGTAGTAGTAGTCGTAGTAGTAGTAGTAGTAGTAGTAGTAGTAGTAGTAGTGGTCGTAGTAGTAGTAGTAGTAGTAATCGTGGTAGTAGCCGTAGTAGTCGTAGTAGTCGTAGT